CCCCAAAACCCCAAAACCCCAAAACCCCAAAACCCCAAAACCCCTTGATCACAATATAGAACAGATTTGAATGAATTAAATACAAGGCAAATACTTAAATAGAGTAACCTGATAACTAATAATAAAAAGTAAAATTATAGACTTCACTCTACTCACCTACATATATATTTTAAATTATTAACTACTATGAGCTAAACAAGGAATCTGACCAATAAAGATGAAAGTTAGTCATCAAAGAGGAAAAGTATTTTCAACATATTGAACAAGAGAAATGATAAAATGAATAAAAGTAGAATCTCAGAAGAGGATATATCAATTAAGTAAGGTCTTAAGCTTTTAATTAAAAAGTTATACTCGTCATATGATTCAGAGATAATATCTCTGAAGTTTAAGGATCCAAAACTTGAAAGGAAATATAAGAAAAGAATGCATAAAAATGTGAAGCATTTTGGGTTTTTCCATTTGATTCAAAGTTTAGTCTTTCTAATTTACTTTTTGGCAGCGTATCCGTGGATGTATATAGAGTTTTTTAAAGAAGAATAATGGAAGTTTTTCGTAAAAGCAAATATAATCATGTTCGCAGTAGAGATCATAATTTATTTATTAAGCAGGAAGTTCTAATTTATTGCTTTCTAATATGCATAGGTTTTATCAGTTATAAAGAACATTGTGTCAATAGAATATTTTTTCTATGTCGAAAATGATTTGGGATTAGTTGGGGATTATCATATTGTTGTTTTCCTGGTATTGGCATCTTTGTCATTGATAAATTATTGCAAGGCACAATTAATAGTTTTTTATGCAATAAATATTATCTATTCTGTCTTAAGGGTCAAATAGCTGCCAACAATGCAAATTTAATATGTATACGGAAGATCAATAGCAACTCTAGTATTATTGCATGTTTTCATGTATCTGTACTCTAGAGACTTCCAAAAGAGAGATAGAGAAATATTTAAATAAATAAACAACTAAAAATAACTTTTGAAATTATTTCATTCATTGATTAAATCTCATCATGATGGAATAATGATTACTTCAGGCAATGAAGTACTCTTTATTAACAAGCAAATACCTAATATTTTTGATCAAGATGTAAAAAATGAGGAGCTATAAAATATTGAGCGATAATATTAATAATAACAGTCAGTCGAGAGTAGTGACGATCAAATGGAGACATAGTCTTAATATTAAATAATAGAAAAACTTAAATCAACTGTAGCTAAAGTTGAAAAAGTTTAGCTTTAATAAAATTAATAAATAGAGATAAAATTCAATAATCTTTGGGATTACATTCTGGCTAAATAATATGAGCATACTAACTTCAAAGACAAAATTAATCCTCAAGATATTTTCAACCTACCCCTGACTAATCAATTGTCTGATGGACTATATTTTAAGTATAAAAACTCCTCGAAAGAAGGCAATACAAAGAGCAAAAGATTATAGATATTTTCTAGCATCATTAGCACAAGCTAAAATCCATTTGTTGTCACAACTATCAGAGATTAATCACTATATTTAGAACTAGAGAAATAGAAAAATATCACACTTGCTAAGACATAGGCGTTTGCCTCGGCTGCTCATGAATTCAGGAATCCTCTAGGAGCAATAATCAACTCTCTTGATCTCCTAGAGGATAAAATCGTTTAAGATAAAGGTGGCTAGATGTTTTTTAAAACTGCAAAAAATTGTTCCCAGTTAATGCTATACCTTGTTAATGATATACTTGATTTTAGTCAATTAGAATCATAGAAACTTATGCTTAATATTGACTGGGTCGAAATTAAAACTCTATTGGAGGAGTGCATAAATGTTCTCAAGTTTAGATCTGATCAAAAAGGATTAGATTTGTTTTATGAAATTCATTAAAGCTTCCCAAGTAAAATACAAACAGATGAGCATAGGTTGAGATAAATATTGATTAACCTTCTTTCTAATGGAATAAAATACACTTGCAAAGGCTATGTCAAAATCCTCTGTTATAAGAAAGCTTAATCTGAATAGCTTTGTATCAGAGTCTAAGACAGTGGAGTTGGAATAGCCATTTAAGACTAAGAAAAGCTCTTCAGTGCTTTCAATAAAACTAAGAAGAATCGTGATCTAAATAAGGATGGATGTGGTTTAGGCCTAACGATCAGTAAAAATTTAGCCTAAGCACTTCAAGGAGATATCATTGTAGAATCTTAAGTTGATAAAGGTTCTAACTTTATAATATTGTTACCTTACAGATACAACTAATTTGATGATTTGCCTGATAGACAATCACATAACTTAGTTTAAGAAGAAATGAATGAATATCGCAGACATTCAAATAAATATAACTCTTATCAAGAAGGATCAATGATGAAAGATATTGAGAGAAGAAAGAATAGTAATTATAGATCTAACTCTATACAACATAATAGTAATCACCGCCATTCTCTCAGTTATTTAGAGACTCCTTAAAAACCACATGATAGCCATCAATACGAGTACAATGAGATATAAAGTTAGTTTGAAATTACATAAAATGTAGATACAGACAGAGATTTAATGACAAAGATTCAAGATTACATTGCACCAATAAAGAATATATTTCTACCTGACGTCACAAGAAGAAGCATAGTATAGCTTTAAGATTTCCCTCAAAACTATGTCATTACTAATTAATCTGTTATAGACTTAGAAACTGTAAGTATTGATATCTAAGAAGATACTAAGAAATAGCAGGAGTGCAAATGCCCTAGAATACTAATTGCTGATGATGATCCTTTCAATATTATAGCTGTTGAAGGAATGCTTAATTCAATTGGTATATCAGAGATTGAGAAAGTTTTTAATGGAAGTGAAGCAATTGATAGAATTAGAAAAAATTTCAATTCCTAATAAAGTTTTCAAGGGCAGTTTAAAGATGGCAAAATTTAAAGCTGCAAAGGTCATTGCTAATATAAGATTATTTTATTAGATAACTAAATGCCACTTATGAATGGCATTGATGTGGCTAAAACTATCAGGTTGGAATTCGAACATTAAATCTAACAAGGACCTTCAAGGATATTCTTATTGTCAGGGGACAATTTTACAAAAATGGATGCTAGTCTAAGAAATGCTTTTGATGATATTATTATGAAACCAATATCAAAATAAAAAATACAGGAAATTTTAAACTTGTGATAGAGTTTAATCTAGAATATCAATTTTAACTCTGCCTCACATATTTACAATAATCTTATTTAAATTCCATTCATTCAATTAATTAAAAGTATACCAACTTTACTTCTTTAATCTAGCTCATGGGGTTTTGGGGTTTTGGGG